TGGTGGAATGGAGGAGCAGAGCCCAGTGGCTGTGCACGGGCAGGGAAATCTAGGTCAGGGCTTGCTTTAAAAGGGGGCACCGAGCCCAGATCGCGGCGGCTTCCAGCGAAGCCACGGAGCAGCAGCGCCTGCCCGAGCCCGGCGCGGACACCGGGAACGGGCAACTGAGGAATGTCGGTACTGGCTGGAGCATCCCCATCCCGGGAGCTGCGGCGCCGAGGGCGCCCACGGGTGCTGCTTCCCGTCTGCGTGGCCCTTCACGCAATTCCTTGCTTTGCTGGGAAACAGTTATTTGTAGCTTTGGCTCTGCCAGGGCTGGAAAACAACGTGGTGCCCGGGGACATGCGCGTTCCAGAGACACGGATACCCGGGCACAGGGAGATGCCACTCACATCACAAATGAGACATCCCCCCGCCCACTAAAGTTGGCCCCTTCCCTCACCCCCGCCTCCACACGCCTGGAAGGGCATCAGCGAAGGGAACTGGCCCCAGGTCTGACATTTCAGCTTTCGCCAGCAAATGGCCAGAAAAAAAAAGCCCCAACCGAGCGAAAATCCCGGCGGCAGCAAAAGGGGAACCGGGGGGACATGGAGGGTGAAGAACTGCATCTGTCAGGCCGAGAAAACGCCTCTGTAGACATTTTGCCCCAAATTACTGCCCAGCCCCAGCAGAGCCATAGCAAATCTTAAAGAAATGGACCTCCATAGAAAGAATTTTATTTTTTCCCCCTCTCCAAACGCATGATTGCTCTGCACTTCCCAACACCCTTCAAGGGCTTGGGATGGGGAATGATTAAGTTGGCAGCATGATGCATTTAATTAAAAGGCAGTGCCTGAAGGTAGAGGGAAATCAGCTGCTGGAGCAGTGGATCCTTGGAGGGCGATCCTGCGAGGCACAACCTGATCCCTGGCTGTTCAGGGAGGTTGGACTTGGCAGTGGGCTTTGTGCCTGGCAGAGCTGGCAGAGGCCACAGCAGTCCCTGCAAGCCGCAGCCCTCCCGGCTCCTCCTGCCGCAGCCACCTCTCAGGGCCAGATTTTCAGGAATCTGGGCTCTGGTGAGCTCGGAAAAATCCAGATTTTTCACATGGGCTCAGCATTTGGCCATTCCCTGGGTTTCCACTGAGCTCAGCTTCGAAATGAGACATGCATCGAAGCTCCAAACTTCACAATAACCCCTCAAAAAATCCCCCAATAAAAAGTTGAGCTGTTAAAGGGCTCCCTGTCCTTCCCAGGCCAACCAGCCAAGCAGGCAGATGTTGGTCATGTGCTGTGCTCCAGGAAGGGCATTTCCAGCAGTGCTTGTGGGTGCAATCCCTCTGCTTGGGCGGCCAAGGTGCTGATGGGAAGGGCTCTGACAAATTCCATTTCCCCATCTATATTCGCTTCCCTTTTCACGCCTCATCCTCGGTAACTCAAAGAGACTGAAGGGAAAAGGCTCTGAAAATGAAACAAGACCTCAACCCAGCGGGGTTTCCAGGGAGGAAAACAAATGAAAGTGGAGCAGCCCAGGACTTCCCCGTGCCCAGATGCAGGTCTCAAACACAGGTGGAACCGCAGCTGCGCTGCCAGGGAGTTTGGGCTCCTGCTCCACTCCCAGTCCCTCCAAAGGGAATGTCACCCGGGCTGAGCTGTGCCTGCAGCAGGGACAGGCCAGACTCCCCCTCTCCTGCCACTGCTTCCCCTTCTGTGCTGCTGCAGGTGGCACCGGGGCAGGGGCAGGCAGGGCAGTCACCAGTACCCCCATGCTGGTGCTGCCCGGTGTTCCATGCCGGTGCTGCCCAGAGGCTCGGGCCGTGCCCGGTGATCCCTGTGTCCCGGTATCCCATGCCGGTGCTGCCCGGTGCCCCGGGCCGTGCCCGGTGATCCCGGTGTCCCGGTATTCCATGGCAGTGCTGCCCGGTGTCCCGGGCCGTGCCCGGTGATCCCGGTGTCCCGGTATCCCATGCCGGTGCTGCCCGGTGCCCCGGGCCGTGCCCGGTGATCCCGGTG